CCTCCTCCTCCTCCTCCTCCTCCTCCTCCTCCTCCTCCTCCGCGGGCCGAGGATCCGCGAGCCGGGGGCCGCTTCAGGTGCCCCTGGCCCCAGGTCCCCCCCGCCTTTCGCTCCACTCTGGAGCCCCTGGAGGTGCCCCTGGCCCCAGGTCCCCCAGCTTTTCGCTCCACTCTGGAGCCCCTGGAGCCCTCTGGGGCACTTCTAGCAACAGCCGGAACGAGGATCGAGGTCGAGGACTGCCACTCGCCCCCCTGACCTGGCACGTCCCTAACCTCACCTGACCCAACCCCTATAGACACTGCGCCGAAGCTGACCTGACCCATGAAGGCTAAGCAGATCAAGGGCTCGACGACACCAATGTCACGCGCACGCTGCAGCAAATGATGTACCAGAATGGAGCGACACAGCAACATGCAGTACAAAAGTGCCGAATGTATTACTGAGCCTTCTTCGGTTCCAATGAAGAATCTGGCCAGCGCTGAGGCGAGAGCGACATTCGCAGACATGGATGCGGCCTGCGCTGAGGCGAGATTGACACTCGCAATCATGTCTGTGGCCGGCACTGAGACGAGAGCAGCCCTCGTAGTCGTGCATGTAGCTGGATCGTGGGCGAGAACAACGTTCGCAATCATTGATATGGCCTGCGCTGAGGCGAGCGCAAAATTCACAATCATGGATGTGGCTGGCGCTGAGGCGAAAGTAACATTCGCTAATCATGTAAGTGGCCGGGGCTGGGGCCAAAACAACGGTCGCAATAGTGAGTGTGCCCAGCGATCAGGCGACAGCATCCGTCGGGATCGTGCGCGAGGTGCCCTACGGCACACGCGCACAGGCTCTAGCTTTAGCGGCACCAGCAGCACCGACGAGACGAGCACTACCAGAAGCGGCAGCAACATGCGCAGAAGCAGCAGCACCAGCGCCACCAGCAGCAGTAGCGCGAGCAGCACAAGCGACATGAGCAGTACCTGTTTGACCAGTACGACTACAAGCAGCACCACCACGCGCACCAGAAATAGCGACAGTAGCAGCACAAGTACGACGACCACGACGGGAAGCAGCAGAACCACGCGACGCAGCACAAGCGCCACCAGCAGCACCACTGTGACGAGCACGACGGGAAGGAGCAGCGCCACGCGAAGCAGCACAAGCGCCATCAGCAGTACCAGGATGACCAGCACGACGGGAAGCAGCAACACGACGCGCACAAGCGCAAGCGCAAGAAACAGTACCACTGTGACGAGCACGACAGGATCGAACAGCACGACACGCTCCAGCACCAGCGCCACCAGAAGCACCACTGTAAACAACACGACGGAAAGCAGCAGCACCACGCGCCAGCAAAAACGCCACCAGCGGATCCAATCGAACAGGCACGACGGGAACCAGCAGCCCCAGGCGACTCGCATTGGCGTGCACGAGCGTCCCCGCCCTCCGCTGGCCACGCCAGCGGGGGGAGGCGCTCCTGTACTCCCACCGGGGCTGCGCCGGGGCAGAGCCAACAACCTGTCCAACAGGCGGCGGCTGCTCACCCCTCGCACCGCAGCTCCCGCGCCCTGGCAGAGATGCGCAGGACGACAGCGCGTCGGCCGTGCAGCAGCACGGCCGAAACGAGCAGTTCCACCTTGACCAGCCCGACATTACGCAGCATCACCACCAGCAGCAGCACCAGCGCCACCAGCAGCAAACCTGTGATCAGCAAGACAAAGACGAACACCACTACGCGCAGCAACACCAGTGCCACCAGCAGTACCACTGTGCCTAGGACTGCTGGAAGCAGCAGCACTACGCGCAGCATCATCAACACCGCCAGCAGCTGTAGTGCGAGCGTCACCAGTACCTATGCGACCAACACGACAGCAAACAGCACCACCACGAGCAGCAGCACCAGCGCCACCAGCAGCACCACTATGACGAGCACCACGGGAAGCAGCAGTACGAAGCGTAGAAGCGTCGGCGCAACAAGCAATACCACTGTGACCAGCACAACGGGAACCAGGAGTACCACGCGCACCAGCTCTAGCGCAACCAGCAGCACCGCCGAGACGAGCACAACAGCCGCATCAAAGCCACCACCAGCAATAGCGCGAGCGGCAAAAGCGACACCAGTGGTAGCTCTGCGGTCAGCACGGCTGCGAGCAGCACCACAACGCGCACCAGCAATAGCCTCA